CTGAAGTTGCGGGGGGGGGTAGCGCACATAATAAAAGATGCGTGTTGCTCAGCAATACCGTCAATTTCCGCAACCTTGTCATATTTTACTTTATGCACAACGAATCTTATCTTTTCCTGCAAAGTAGCTTCGCTGATGTTATCATAGTGAACTGGCGTTTTTGGTTTCTTGAGCCTGGTCTACTTCCTGACCCACAGGCGAACCCTGATACTAACGAAAGGTACAGCCCATCCTGGTAGGAAATCAGGGCAATCGGTTAACGGCTGTCAATGAGTATGACGAACTCTATCTGCTTGTGAACTGTTGCTTCTAAACAGCGCGGTGGTGCATTTGTAAATTTATTTGTTATTACATATTTTTGTTGCAAACCTTAAGGTTGCAGCGATTCTGTTCAAATATAATTCTTAATTCTTTGTCTGCTGAATAACTTACAAGTATCACAAACATAATAGTAGAAACAACCACGGTATTAGAGTAATTAGAATTTGTCTATTTAAAATGCATATTTATCATTTAAACGCTATCCAGATATTTGTCCCAATTTATCAATTCTTTTGCATCCAACCGCTCAATACAAATCTAACATCAACGGGGTTAAATGTATGAGTGGCTCATGACCAAAATATGGAATCACGTGGTAGGGCAAAGTGCGATGTGGGCATTTTTTAACCGTGAAACATTGCCATGAATAGCGAGAACATGGTGAACACTCAACTGTTGAAACGGTTCGCTCCATCAATCTACAGTGAAAACCGGACAAAGTTCTTCGAGGTAAAGGCAAACTACTGGCTCGTAGGTCGAGTTCTCAGTATATTAGCAATAGAAGAAAGACAAGGCTTCACGTAACACATGACCGCAATGCATCAGCTTTGTCAGAAAAAAAAATTGTTCGAAAAGGCGCATAAAACAATTATTCATCCTGTCCAGCAAAGATACCAATCATAACAAGGGATAATGACTCTGCCTAACCGTATGAGTTGCTAGGCACCTGTAGCCAACAAACTCTTGCAAAACAAGCTTGATTTTTTCACCTTCTCGTCTGAACTACAATCTTCTTGCGATATTCTAATTATTTCAGATAGTGGCGTTACAGCGTTCCACCCATTCTGAAATACCGCCATTCCGCCGAGGTAGCTGGGCAGCAACTTCAAGAGCTTACTGAAAGGTCCAGGTCTTGTATCAAAAGCAAAAACTCAAATGGTTGGATTCCATAGTGACAATGCCAGATATTCCTTCTCGTGGAATACCAATGAGAAAACCTGAGTATCTCTGTGACCCTAGGGGCGCTGCTGGCTGGAGTATTACAAGTTCTCTATAATATATTGACTGAAGAGTAGAAGGTAGATGAAGAGCATTCCAACCCTACGTAACCATAGTTCCGTTAAATGAACTATCATTTCGGATGGACCCTCGTTTGGGGCA